AGCCACTACAGTGACCATCAAAACGATGAAAAAAATATTGCCGTAAACAGTTTATTTTGCGACACCACGATAGCGTAAAATGAAACGATAGACGTTTTTATATCGTCATCCGATATATATCGTTATATCGAACAGCCCTAACTACCGGCAGCTTGAAATATTAATAATACAAGTATGGCCATTTTCCTTTGAGCTCTGGCCTCATGTATTCTCTGTAAACACTAGAAATCGTTGCGTGGGAAAAGTAGATCAACAGTTTCTGAAATACTCAGATCAGCCCTGGCACCGTCTGCCACCAACAACCATGCTGTTTAAAGTCACTTAAATCACCTTTACTCCCCATTCTGATGCTCAGTTTGAACTCAGCAGGCCGTCTTGACCATGTCTATGATGGACCATGTTCATGAAGTTGAACAGGTGTACCTAATACAGTGACAGTGAGTGCATACTTCCAAAAAGTGGAGTTAATACCGTCTGCTTCTTTAGATGTGCAGTATCTCTTTTTGAACAGGGTTAAACATAATTCATATGCTACACATTTTTTTTATGTGATCTGAGAGAAAAAAAATGTTTCTATAACATCATTTAGCACATGCTGAGCGGCCCTGAAGAGATGAGTGTAAATTTCATTAGCATCTTATTGAGCCCCCACAGCTGAGCTAGCTGGAGCTGTAGGAGTGAAAAGACAATTTACCTAGGGCACAGAGCATTAATTTTTCAGCAGTGAAAAAACCCACACTAACTTAAGCACCACATGAAGGAATGAGGTACAGCCTGGCTGCTTAAAGCAAAGTCTGCTTGTCTCATGCTAACAAACAGTCTTCCTCTGGCTCAGGGCTGCTTACACGGCGTTGGCCTGTAGAATTTCTAAGCCCTTCAACTTATCCTCATACCTTCTTCTCCCACTCGTTTTTTAAACAGTCGGCGCTCTGATCCGACATCTTCTTCAGCTCTGCAATCTGCTTCTCTTTGCTCTCGCAGATGACCTGGGATTCTCGCAGCACGCTTTGAACTGCGGGTAAGCGCAGACACAAAACACACAAAAGAGCAGTCAGGCCCTGCCTCAGGGTATGAACAGATGGACACATGAACAGACATGCATGCACACTTGTGCTCGACTGATGTGCTGTCAGGAAATCAATGACAGTAAAGATTTTGTTTCTATTTGAATGGCTACTATTTCTTCTGTGTGACGCAGTTTTATCATCGGACACTCTTAAAGCAGACACGTGAGAAAAGAAAGGAACAAGACCAAAAATCACAGGGCCACAGGAAATCAAGTATAAAAAGACACATAAGGTGACTGAATTTTAGATTGAGCAGCACAGCTGGAGAGTGTCACTCTACACCAGTGCAATCCTTTGTGGAATTGCATCTTTTTAGGCTTTTTACTCCAAGTGGCAGAGACACAAGTATAAACATCCTTCATGTTAACCCCGCAATCATGTGACCTCTCACCTTTCTTCTCCAGCTTACGGATGGTCTCCTCTGATTCTTTCTGCTTGGTCCGGTGAAGGCTCTTCATCTCCTCAATCTCACCATTTTTTCGGTCCAGAATCTACAGATGGAGAGGGAGACACTGAAAGTGTATTCGGCTGTTTTTCTCTTACTGCCAAGAAAATGGCATCTGTCATAGCAAAGCTAAAGCTATTAAAGTTTTCGCATGCAAAGTTCACAAAGGCTAAATTTAAGTAAGCACTATGTGACCCAGATATAAAAAAAGAAAATGCAACCGCCCACACTGAAAGACAGCGCAGAGACCCTGGAGTTCTTGACAACCAGCAACACTAAAGAAGTTTGTTTTGTTTTTTTTGTGCAGAGTTTCTTGCTTTGTGAGCTCATGTATA